GCCGCACAGAGAACTTGTACGCTCCTTCGTAGTGGTGCTTGTACGGGGGTGGACCAGCACTTGCGTTAATGGCAGGAGTCAGTGTTGTCCTAATTAAGTGGCAATGCCTAACGATCAGCTGGGAGCAGCTCATGGCTCCTTGTTTCAGCCAGTCTCTTCCCTCTCTGAAGCCAGTTGCTTCCATGATCTCCTCGAAATGGGGATGGGAGGGAGCGTTTCTGGGAGTCTTGTCTCAGCATTGCCAGCAGGATGCTTGTGGTCCCCACTCCTGATGCAAAGAGGGGTTTGTGCCTGGAGGCAGATGCCGATGTGGCATGTGTGGGAAAATCAGGGCCCTCCTGCTTTGCCCAGGGGCAAAATCTTAAAAATGTGCTGATTTCTGGGAGCTGCTCAAGGACACAGTTGCCAGCACTGGCTGCGGGCAGCAGGGATGAAGCAGTCTCTTCTGCAAGCACAGCTGTCCCCAGGGCTGCTGTGGGTGGGATGTCTTGTTTTGGGGTGCTTTCCAGAGAGGGGGTATCGCTGTGGGGCCAGAGACAAAGAGGAAAAAACCGAGCATGGGGATGTAAAGTCGCTTGCCCGAGGCCAGGAGAGAAACCTCTGAGACTGGGCTCGCTGCATCGACAGAGGTGGGTCACAGTGGCTCTGTGCTGTCTTGTGTTACAGGTCGCACACCTTTGGAAATGCCGCATATTAACCCATCGTGTTGGCTTAGTTTCCAAAGCAGCGCCGTCCCTGGGGCAGCTCTGCACTTCTTGATTCTGCCTCGCTACAGCCTTTGCTCACTTTACTGTAATTTTGTGAGCTTTCTGCAGCATTTGTGTATGAAAGAAACAGCCACCTCATAGGAAGGACTTGGAAATGTCACTTACTTGCATGGCACGGGAAAAAAAAAAAAGGGTGTGTGGGCTGAAACTTGTGCATCATTAGTCACCGCAGTACCTCGTGCTACGGGGACTGCTGCTTCTCACTGTGCTGGGGAGCTCGTGGGAGCACACGAGATGTGCCCTGGTCCTCCAGCAGCCGTGGATTTGTGCCCCCAACTAAGCCATATTGTCAGGACAATGCTCCACAGCACCCCTTTCGCTTGAGTTGGGCTATCTGTTTTCTTCCCTGCCCTTCTCCTCCCCCAAGTCAGGATCTTTTTTTTTTGTCTTTAAGGCCAGACTTACAATGCTAAAATCCATGTTTCTCATCTAACTGTCACATTTTTTGTGTTCAGGATCAAAGGCTGGTGGGTGTCTCATCACTATGTCTCCACGTTCCTGTCTGGAGTAATGTTAACGTGGTGAGTCTGCTCTCGCCTGCTTGAGGTGCTTCAAGCCTGTTGCACAGTGTTTGCATCATCTAAGCATTTAAATCCAGTGTGACCATGAAGCTGTGGCCGCACTGGCACATGGAGAAGCGTCAGACTCAGTATTTGTCTGATGTTACAGATGTTTTCAATGATAAATACAACACTGCAAGTTTGTATTTGCATTGCTGATTTAAAAAAAAAAAAAGAAAGAAACCCAAACCCTGAGCCGTAGTTGCGCTGGTGGTAGCAAAATCTCTGCAAGTCTCCCGATTTCTGTCTCTGTGTAACTAAGCAAACAAGCAGCACTTTGCTTTAGAGGGAGGACACCACAAAATGAATCTGTTTGGTGCCTTTACTGAACCCAGATTAAAAACCGAGTATAAAGCCAAAAATGCAAGTTACCTTCCAGCGGGTGGTGGCGTTAGTCAAACAACGCAGCGATGCACCCCGTGTATGGCCCCTGTGCATCCTGTCTCAACTTTGGCATGAACTGATTAGTTAATAATTAAAAATTGTTTTAAAGCAACAAATGTTTCTGCTCCTGAATCTGTAAGGGGATGACATAGTGGCTGGAGCAGAAGGTCCCCTGTCCTCTGTCTATCCTGAGTTACCCTTAGGATAAGGAGCACAACCACCCCCTGCTCCACCGCTTGGACTCTTGATGCAGACGCTGCTGAACAGCTTTGATTGCTGCCTAGAGAAAACTGTGATGAGCAAATGAATAAGAGGGGGCAGCATTCATACGCATTTGAGAGGGGAAACCTAATCAATTAGAGCATTTTGTACAGGCCAGATTTGTGATGTGCGGCTGTAGCACCCTTTCTGGGCTCCCGATGGGGTGGAGCAGGCTGGGTACGAGCTGCTTGGTTCGTTTGCTAACGGGATCTGGCTTGGCGGTGAAGGGGAAGGGCACTGCGTCATATGCTTTTTATCAAACAAATAGACCTCCTTTGTATTTTGTTTTCAGGCCAGATGGACTCATGTATCAAATGTTTCGCAGTCAATTTTTAGCATTTTCAATATTTCAGAGTGAGTATATCTTACCTTGCTAATTCACGGGATAAAATAGTTTTGTATCTTATGTGCTTAGAAGAAAACACATCTGCTTGGTAAATCACTGGAGTATTAAACTGTATAAATATAAACCATACCATGCAAATACACAGTGTACAAATATAGACAATAATTAACATGCTGTTGGATTAAGCATTATTAAAATAATTTGTTACATTTATCATATTTCTGAATAACCAATGCAATGATGTTCTCTCTCTCCTTCTCCAGGTTGTGTTCAGTTCCTACAGTATTATTATCAAAGGGGCTGCCTTTATAGACTCCGTGCTTTGGGGGAGAGAAACCACTTGGACCTTACAGTAGGTGAGGTTTTCTGCAATACTTGGTTTGCAAAGGTTTTGCACAGGTTTTAGATGCAGCGATAGGGAGAGGGCTGTGTGGCCTTCCGAGAGCGAGCTTTGCAGAGCTGCCACCCCCCTGCCCTGCTGTGTCCTACGGCAGGAAGGGGAGAGAGGCTTTTATCCCCCTCCTCGGGTCCTGTGGGTCAGGAGCAGAGGGATCTGATCTCCGTCAGCTCTTGAGTGGATTAAGATGGAGGTTTTGGTCGTCCCCATCTTCATCCTCCTCCCATTACCACACCTTCAAGTATGGTTATTGCGGAGCAGGACAGGAATAGCCCTTATGGGGTGGTCTGGGTGAGGAGGGCTGCAGCTTGGGTCCTGGCTCTTCTGTGCTCAGTCTGCCTCTTCTGTTAACCTTTTCCAGAAGGATTTCAGTCCTGGATGTGGCGGGGGCTGACCTTTCTTCTTCCCTTCTTGTTCTTCGGGCACGTAAGTTGGGCGATCCTGTTCCTCCCTCTGCGGCGTGGGGCCTGGGAGGGTCTGCCGCTGCAGTTGCAGCACCATAAAAAGGTGCTATGGATCACACACACCTGTGGCAAATGTTTCTAAATTTTTTTGCTAGTAATGAAACAGCTTTTTTTTCCTTTTTAGTTCTGGCAGCTGTATAATGCAATCACACTTTTTGGATTGTCGAGGCATAAGGAGTGCAAAGAATGGCAGGTGGGTGTTGGTTCTGCTCAGAAAAAGCACGGAGCAGGGGAGGGGGGTATTTAACCACATTCTTAAAGATATTTGGGCATCTGACCCCATCTAAATATCTCAGGATGATGTGGCACAGAGGCTATACAAGAGAACTCAAAATAAATGTGAGTTTTTGTAGGGAACCTTGCA